GGCTAGAATCGCATCACCACCCATTGTTGGTCCAACCTACACTGCCAACCTAGGACCAAGCTATTAACAGGGCAAAATAGGTAGGACCTGGCTAGGACCAATTTTCATTTTCCACTCGAGGTGTTTAAAGTTTTGTGTGTAAATTTTGAAATGGAATATTAAACAGGACTTGAATCTCATTATAATTCACATCATTAATGGTTTTGAAAGTGAGAAAAATAGTTTTTCTTTTAATCAGGGATGGCAACCGAAACCGTTAACCGAAAAAACAGATATTTTTAAAAAACTGAAAACTAGAAACCGAAAACGAAAAAAAAATTATCTGAAACAGAGAACCGTAAACCGAAACCCATATTATAAAAATTTAAAACCCTTTATTTCAAAACCTAAATTTCGTTTTTTCGGTTTTTAATATAAAAATGAAACTGAGTAGAACTAAAAAAATTGGACAAGTGCGGGGTTGCATTCCCACTGAAATGACGGGTTCCGTACACCAATATTAAAATCTTTTGGTACAAAAAAAATTAATGAACAAAAAATATTGAAGTATGGTATGTCTAATATTGTAAATAATAAGTAGAGGTACCAAATTTGCAGTTTACAAATAGTTAATTAAACAAAAAATTTTTTTTAAATAAATTAGAAAAAAATTTTTTTAAATTAATTATTTGTGATCAACCTGTAAAAATACACTAATGTATCAATTTTTAGCTAATTGGATCAAATAATGTAAAACTTAGGGGGAAAATCGTTTTCTTAAAAATTTTTAGTTTTTCCTTGACAAAGCTATGGCCATTTTATAAAATATAAAACAAATTTATAAATAAATTATGAGTAATTAATACACATATTTTATTATAAATAATTAATCCCTGCCATCCCTGCTTTTAATAAAATTTACAACTAATAAGAATCTACTACTCCTACCACTCGAAAGTCTACTATTTTTTCTAAAAAATTCCAAGAAAACTTTTTCAGAAATGAAATTAACTTTTAACGTTCTAGCTGCGGATTTTAAGTTAAATATTGAAACTTTAAACCTGAATATCTCAGATTTTAGAGTAGTATAGATGCTGAGGTATTTATCATACTCAAAGTCCACAAAAATGAATGATTATTAGCCTAAAAGTTAAGAATGATTCTCTTTCAAACACAGATTCTGATTAACGATTCTAATTTTATTTATTACTTACTTTTCAATTATTTTTATGGCATTCTAACAGCAACGTTTCACAATAATATTATAAAAATATACCTACAATGAAAACCTAAAAATAAGTACAATTTAGTAAAAATTTTCTGCTAACTGTACAATCTTAATTTTATAATTTAAAATAAACTTCATGTGAATAGACTGAAAGCTACAGATAACAGAAAAGGTTACATAAATTTCACAATTAAGTTTCTATAGAATCTCAAGGAGTTGTAAAATATATATTTTTTAATACTTATGTGCACTCGCATTGGGTGGTTTTTCAATATTAATTTTCACATCGACATTTGGAAAGTGTGCCAAAAAAAAGCCACCTTAATTTATTAGAATTTCAAATAACATAAACTAATTATGAGGTGGTGTTTGCATGCTTGCGTTCTAACGCTGCGTTTTGCGTTGAGCAATGAGTGTAACAAGGCTAGAAGTATATGAAGACGCAAAAACGTGCGTTAAAAGGCAAGCATGTAGACACAGCCTTACTCTATTGAAAATTCCTCTTAGGATTCCTAGCAGATATATGTTTTCGACGTACCCACGGATCATGATCCGGATCACTTAGTGGAGCTCAAATCCTTTAAAATATAACATTCTATGTAGTTCTATCCTATCTTCATAGGATTCTATAAGAATCCTTAATCCTTTAGCCTGGCTCCAGAATAGCTAAAAATCATTGCAACAGAGATCGAGGTAGAGGTGGCAGTTGAGCAATTTTCTGTCCTAATACATATCAAATATCTAAAATAAATGTTCCAAATACATTTTACAACCAATTTAACATTATACTGCAATAGGTATGCAATCATCAATGGGTCAAATTATAATTTTCTCAATCTATGTTCCTCCAAACTCTAGAGTTACCCCAGACTAATGGCATGAATTTTTCCATTTTACACAAAATTACACTCATGTCATCATCAATGACGACTTTAATTATAATGGGCGGAATTTATACTCAGCATTGGAAAATTCACCCTATATTGTCCTTAACAACTCACAAGGGACTTTTTTAGGTCCTAATAGTGTTTCATCTAGTGTTATGGATCTGGTAATGATATCTCCGGCATGGCATTGGCCAATCGTACGTAAGGAAATCAAAGAGCAGAATCTCTAGCTGAATTCCATAAAATCGATAAGGAAGTAAAAAAAACTCTGAGAAACTAGAAAAGGGATTCTTTTTGTTCCTTCTGTAATTCCATGGATCCTTCCATGGGCTCTAAGCGAATTTGGAGTACAATTAGAGCTTTTAATACTCGAAATTTATCAAAATCAACATAAGTTTACAATGTCGACGATGTTTTTATTTATATGGAATGTCCTAATTATCAAGATGGTCTTGATACTCTTCATGAATCTGTCAGACACTTAACGCCATGGTTGGAATTCATTGGTATGTCAAACTCCGGTCCAAAATCACAATTATGCTTTTTCTCAAGAAACCCATGTAACCCAAACCAAGAATCCTATGTAAATTTTTTTTAAAATTTTTTTATCCCTTATTTATAACATTTGTCAATTGATGATACCGATGATACGAAGATGACCGTGGTAAAAGATGACCAATCTGTGCAAAATTCGAACCGAACCGAGTTTTGTTCGGTTTTGGGGCGCCGAAATTTCGAATGTCGAATATTCGACATCCGATTTGGGCTAGTTCGAATGTCGAATTTTCGACATTCGAACTAGGCGAAAAAATTCGAACAGTTCGGTTCGAATTATTTTGCACAGCTCTAATGACCAAACTTTTAATATTAAAATCTTGCAAAAAACTTGAAATAATTACTATTTTCCAATGTGAGTGTTTTGTGTTATATATAATATATTTTACTAATGTTATATTGCACACCTTATTTGCTTGAACAATTTATTACTGTTCGCCACTAACATTAAATATAAAATTATCGATTTAACAAGTGTTTAAACAATTAATTTTTGCTATTTACTAACTCCTTACACAAAGCACCTAAAAACTTTGAGTTTTTTTCCTAATTTTGTAATTTATCCAGCTGAGTATAATTACAAAATTAGAAAATAATTACATGCTTCTACGAAGAAAATTAGCAATTAAGAATAATTTCAGTTTAGTAATCAGCGATTCCAAAAACCCCCAAGTAACGAGTTTCAAAACGAATCCAATTATTTTTTGAATGTCGAAGTCGCGTTCGTGCCTATAGCTGTAAATGTGTTTCTACATATAGCTAGCAAATGCATTTGTTTTGTCTGGTTCAGAATGAATTTATATTCTGCATAACAATTTAAGAATAATTTACATTTTATTTACAAATTTAATATAAACCTGTGTGCAAAATATACCATCACTTTGAATCAGACGAAATATATACATTTTCACGTTATTATAGAAATACTTTTACAGCTAGGTGTCAACCAACCAACCGAAAGATTCTTATACATACATGTACTTGTCAAAATGTACAAACATTATTAGGTATATATAGCATTAAAAATTGACTGGAAATGTTCGAAACTAGTTGGTAAATTTAAAAAATACGAAACTAAAATAACAGTAACTAGGCTTTTAGTACAAAATAAGTAGGTCAAATAATTTAGATATTTTAAGTTAAAATAAAAAATCACTTTCTCAGTTGTCTACAAACGGTTTAGATTTTTAAAATAAAAAGCTTATTACTGTCATAAACCTACCAACTTTCTCTTTTTCACTTTGGTTACCTACGTGGAAAGATTCCTGGAAATTTTTCAGAATCGTTTTCGCTAATTTCCGAAAACGACTTGATGAAATCTTCTATGACTTTTCAGAAAATCAATGTCTTTTGAATCTATCACTCGGCGACACACATATCGAGAAGATGATATCATTACTTTCGAGTCATGTTGAATGGTAAAAGAGTAAAAATATAATGATTAACGATTAGACAGCCCTGCTGTTCTTATCAGAAACGATAAAATATAAATAAAGGTTTTTTCAAAAATATGTATAACTTTTCACATTTTCGGGAAAAGTGTTCTCGACCGTTTGTCAAAACAGATAGTTCTCTACAGACTTTAGAGCAGCAGGAATGTCGAAACGTTAGCCATTGTATTTTTATTCTTTTACTATTCAACATGACTCGAAAGTAATGATATCATCTTCCCAATATATTTTCAGAAAATCCTTCTCCTTAGGTAAGTCTTTATTTAAAGAGAATTGAAATGCTGATTCTAATTGAAAATTCTCGTACGAGCTCATGAATGAGTTCATGTATAAGATCACGTACATTTCAAGGATCACTTTAATCTTTTTTCATAAAAAATAAGTGAACGGCGTTTGACCAAAAATAGAAAAAGACAACATTTAGAGATTTAGAAATTTGCGTAAATTAAATTTAAAATTTAATAAAATTAAAGGGATTTAAAAATTACATAGGTTATGTTGTCAGAAATAAATAATTTTCTTTTTATTGCTTGGTCACAATTTCTGTCAATTGGCGTTTATAAATAAATTTGTCAATTTAAAAAAAAATTTAAAAATTTGGATAAATTAGATTTTGAATTAATTAGAACTTTATGTGAATTTAAACGATGAATAAAAAAATTCAACTCAACAAGTGAAAATTTCGCTTATTCAGATTTAGAGAGTAATATAGTGGTATTTTTAAGAAACTGGTTAATATATATATATTTGTGTACGAGATGCTGTAATGTTTAGGCAACCGTTTTTCTGTCTGGGTTTTCAATACATTCGAAAATATGTTAAAATTATTGGTGTCAAAAACTTAGCTCTTGTATAAGAACTTTCCATTATATTGCACTTATTTTTCAATTTGCATTGTAGGTATATCTTCATAAAAATACTATGGTACACTTCGACTTATGGAAATTGATGTCAAAATGCCGTAAAGGCCAATAAAAATAAAGATGAGACTGAAGAACTCAGATTGCCATTGACACCCGAAAAATATCTGATTGTAAAAGGTAAGAGTTTTATTCCCTTAAAGTGAGTTCCCATTTTGTCAAAGTTCATATTAAAACAGTTTTATTAGTGTGCATTTGTTAAATTGCATTTTTACTTTAACTTTCAATCTCACTGTTAGTGTCCCGATAGCACCGTTTTTGCAGAAAGATAACAGGAAGTTAACTATGTAAAGTTCGATAGCTAACTCGGTTAACTTCCTGTTAACCATCTAGAAAGTTTATATGTCCTTCGATTTAAATATTATTCCAATGTTAACTTTCGGGAAGTTAAGGCCTCAGCACAAGTGAGTCGCAAAAATGCTAGGGAAAGTTCTTGAAAAATTAAAGTAAAAGTTATAAGGAAATCTTCTCAATATGTGACGCTCTATGGTGAAAGGGGCCTTCTTCTAAATAAAATTATGACTAATGTTATAGACCCCTTTCATTGTGGATCATCCATATTCTTTCCTAAAATGAACCACAAAATGCATCCTAAATAATTTGAAGAAAATTTCTCTAAGTTTTTCGTAAATTAGTATAGCGAAATTTCTAAAAATTTTCACAGGCAACTTTCATAATGTTTCACTGTCACCTTGCAAAAAGTTTACAGAAAATTTGCATACTTATTACATTCTTACGCAGAAGTTTTCTATGTCATCTAGGTCTGCGCACTTCATTTAATATGTTAAGTCACTTAAATGTAGGACTGTTATATTTAACAAAAAGTACATACACATCCTGAAAAAAATTAATTAATTTACATTAAACATTCCACAAATTGTACATTCAAATGTTTATTTATTTATCTCAAAAGTTTTTTTTCATAACAATCGGTTGATTTCCCAAGTTCTTTTTAAAAGATTGTTACCGGTCAAGAAAATCTGAATCAGGAATAGAATTTCTAGATAAATCATTTCAAAAAGGTTTTTGAGAAACTTAAAAAATTATGTGCAAATTTCCTTATAACTTTTACTTTAGTTTTTTTAAGAATTGTTCCTTGCATTTTTGTAGCAAATTTACATTGATAACTTTCAGAAACTGCAATCGCCAGACATATAAAGTTGACACAGTTAACTTCCTGCAAAAAACAGTAATATCTGGGTGAAATAAACTCTTCTTAAGATGGGTAAGTTATTTACATACATAGAAAAGAAATGAAGAGAGTGTGAAAGTTTAAGTTAAAAGTGTTAAACACAAAGCACATTAGACTAAATAATTCACATTAAAAAATCGAGCATGAAATTGCGGGTTCACGGGCAACAAAGGGACGTGCAGGATTTCTAATAGCCACTCGCGTATCCGAGGGGGTCGCGGGGACTTTCACTTTCCGACATATCCCCTTATTGCACGTGAACATCAATTATTGTTTTAAAGTTGATTTCATCCTTTGATTCGAGTTGACAAATTTTCATTCTAAATGGAGTAAAATCTAATCACCATTTAGAATACAAAGTTTATACGTTTCAAAAGTTTTAAGTTTACAGACCTATATGCTAAAAATTTGTATATTTTTATGTTATTTATTTACAAACTATAAATATGCACAAGACAGTATTTTATATAGAAACCTTCTTTCTGTGTTGAGAATAACGAGATACAAATTAAAAGACAAGGATTTGACAATATGACGGTTTTTAATTAATATACATTAACACACGTATACACTGAGAAACCTTTTTGTCTGTAACAGAATTTCGAAAGGCTGCTGCTGTCCATTCTGTTCGCAAGCTATGAAGGCCAACGCATAACGGCTTTGCGAACGCAAAGTATGATGAGTTAGAAAAGGACAGAGATTCATTTGTGTTTTTTTCTATTTCGTTCGCAAATGACTATCAATTATGTTAAAAAATATGTTAAAATATATGAGTCCTGCGCGATGAAACGGACCTTACGTCCATACAGTGAATTATACAGAAACTGTATTAGTTGTATTAGTTGTACCTTATACATTACATTAAAAATATTTTTCATTTTGTTAGAAAGTTTACTAAAAGCAGCTCACTCCTTTCCTTACAATTTACCGCCGAGGGTGAGGTACATCTGTCCTAAGGAATTAGATCTTCTTTTCTCAGGGCACGTACATTTGCACCTCCTTCCTTTCTTCCTCGTCAGGGTAACGGAACAACTCGATAGTTTAGATTTAAGCGAAACGAGTTTAACAATTACTAGCGAAACGGCAACTATGTAATTCACTAGCGTCACAGTTATTTTATTGCTTAAATTATATTCTCGATTATTCTCAGATAGAAAACTGGCGAACGATATTTTATTATTATTAAAGTTGTACAGCTTCAAAGCAAAGGTAGCGTCCCTACTACTAAAGTAAGACGCTCTCCACAGTTTAGACAGTCACAAGATAAAAATTAGGAAGCAGCGCACCAAAACCACAGTGAAGCTGCTGAAGTCCAAAAGTTCTCTCAGTGTTGGGTAAGTGAGATAAAGAACCTGTACACCACGAAGGGGCACAAACGAGAGAACAATTCTAACTTTGACTGCCAATAGTTTTAAACATGACCACCAACTTAATCTGTCTATTAGTGACAAAAGTTTAAATATACCAGTAACCAATAAGTTTTTAAATGTTTTCTTTAACACTATCTCCTAAACTTTTTTAATTTCGCATTAACTTGCAAAACAATCTTCAAGTTCACTAATTTCGTCCATAATTTAGGAGAAACTACGCCTAGCTTTTCGCGTAACTTTTTAAATGGTACTCTTAGAATGGATTTTACTAAGATTTTTATTTTATTTTTTTGCAACTTGGTCGTCACTTGAAACATGCTCGATTTTTAACTATTTATTCTGAATTTTCTCACATACAAAATGAAATGGCACAAAAATGTACTTGGAGCTTTTGGGAAAACTCGCATTCTTAGCCAATTTAACAGTACTCGCGTTGTCTACACGAAGTGATAGTACTTCCTTTAAGGGTTAGATTTCACTAAATAGTTGTTTCGACCATACTGCATCTTTTGCTGCTTTTCTGGCTGTCACATATTAAGTAGAGCAGTGCAAAATTCGAACCGAACCGAGTTTAGGTCGGTTTTGGGGCGCCAAAATGTCGAATGTCGAATATTCGACATTCGAACTAGGCGAAAAAATTCAAACAGTTCGGTTCGAATTATTTTGCACAGCTCTAATATGAAGCTTCTGTGGTTGACAATGAGACTTTTTGGTGTTTTCTTTCCTTTCTACTACACCACTAATCGAACGACATGAAGTTTTATTACTCACAGAGCCGGCATCACTGTAAGATTCCAGATCTTCGAGTAAACCTGCATCGAATGCCCATTTCAACGGTGCCTTGTAGGTATTTGAAAATCCGTTTGACCATCGACCAATGTTGTTCACTTTGATTTTTGAAAAATTGTGCCACATAAATCATCGCAAACTTAATGCAAGTGACTGAGCGTTAAGAAACAATTCAAAAGAGAATAAAACTTTCTTTAAAACATTTGTTCCAGCATCTGAAGGTGTATTTTGAGAAGTATACACCCTTCCGAAGTTTGCAAATGCGTTGACTTCTTCTATCTTCGTACCCTTTAGGTTATTGCCAGCATACATATGTTTCATCCACTATTGTGCCGTTGAGGAATGCTGTCTGTACATCAAAATTGAGCCATTTCCAAATCTTCGTTCACTGCGATACTAATAATTGAATGAATCGTGTCGATCCTTAGTCAACTTCTCCAGATTGACTAAACCCACAAGCAAACAGACGCACCTTGTAACGAGACATTTTCAATAAATATTTAACTGAGTAGGTGATATCCGTTTTTCGAACGAAAATATGTCACTGCACTTAGTGACAACATTCTTTCTTTGAATGACAACATTTTGTCGTGTGACACATTTTCTTGTGTGTAGTACACGGTTCCAAAAACATGAAAAATTTCAAAGTTGATATTGCTATTTGTAAACTACTCGTGTGGTATTTTTCCGTCGACATTACTTGGTCCTTATCTATACAACGTAAAACAATGATATCACTGCTTCCGCCTAAAAAATTTTGTCAAATATTCGACCAAATCATAATTCGAGCGAGATTCACTACAGTTCTGTTGGTGCGTTTAGCTCAGTGTACGGACTTGTAACACATATTATCACTCCATTCGAATCAAAGAGTTTTAAACACCAACCAAACCAAAGTAACAAAAAATTTTCAAATGTTTACTTTAACACTAGATCATTATTTATAATTTACAGTTTATTTCAATCTTACAATCATTTACTGATTCAACGTAGTCTTTATGAAACCTTTCAAAAAGTTAAGAAATATGGTATTTTTCTGATTATTATCACATAGCACTATTTTTTCCAGAAAATTATCTTTAAGTTATCAAGCATAAGTTAGGAAGTTATTTCTGATAAGTTTCCTGATCCTCTGAATGTCCCCCCATATAAACTTCTCGAAGTTAACTTGCTGGTAGTTATTAATGTGAGTGTGCCGAAAAGAACAAGGAAAAGTTTCTTAAAGAAAATGTAGAAACATAAAAGAATATGAATCTCAAGTCAGATTAAAAAAATTTTAAGGTTTTAACCTTTTTATGGCCACCAAGAATTAAAAAAATTTTTAAGAATCAATAGATTTAATCTTCACTAGATCGGATCTCACTCTGTGTGGATTAGTCCGTATTAATAAATTGTACCTATATCTACTAGAGTTTTGCACTAACTTGGACGAAATTTTACGCCGCTAAACAAAATTTAAAAAGCTTTAACAAATTTTTTAAAATTTTTTTGTCTAAAATTTATAACATTTATATTTGATACAATTATTATTTACTTAATATTTATAATAGTTGAAGTTTTTTGTTGTGGCCTTTGGTCAAGAAATTAAGAATTTTTTATTACATTATAATATTTTATTATAAAGGTCTATAATATATCAAAAAACTTCACTTAATATTTATATTTCTTAAATGTCTTATCTAACATTTAGTTTTTTAAAATTCCGGCTTTAAATTTGTAATGAGCGACTCCAAAAATCCCAAAATGACGAGTATCAAGCGAATCTAATT